GTGTCATGTTATCGCATGTGTAGGCTGTGGTAAAAAATTAAGAATGTTTCGAGCAAGTTACGACGTCAGATGCATAAAACCCAGACATCTCCACATGTGATCACATTATGCAGGTGTACTATACGCGATATGCCAACCAAGACAAAGCGGATCTTAAGGGTTGGGCTATTTTGCACTAGGTGTCTCCACATGGTAAACTACCTGCCCCAAACGATGACGATTACAACTTCAACGCAAACACATATGATGGACAGTTCTATCAAGAAGATGGGCTACCAGGCACGTTTGAGATAGTCTTACCCGAAGCGATTGAAATGGAAGTAGACAACGAAACGGAGGATGATGAGGTTGATGGAGATGTGGTGCAAAATGCCAAGGACATAGAAATGCTTGACCGATTAAGGCTAGTCAATGACGACGAAGACAACATAGAACCTTCGGATAGTGTTGCCCATTTGGACAATTTTAACAGTGATGACGACACCTATGATCCTAATCACGAAGATTATTCCTAATACATGTAATACTACATTTGTTTTAGTTTGTGTTTTCTTTATTTATTTTGAATCTATTTCTAATATATATACTAATAAGTCTTGTTCATTCTTTGTGATTGCAGGTGATGGTGAGCAGCCGTCCACGACGTGAGATGGCCTCCCTTTATGGGAGACCATGCCCTCCCGTTTCAGACGAGGAGTCAGGGTTAGGGGTAGCGTCCACAAGAGGTCAGAGGAGGACCAGGGTCAGGAGGAGGAAGCGGACTCCTTCCCCGCCACCTTCAGACGAGGTGATGGAGGAGGAGCACGTGACGGCCACGCCCGAGGATGAGGTCGAGGACGAGGACATCCGATAGACTGAGGACGAGGCGGCCGAGGATGAGGCAGCCGAGGGCGACATTTCCGCTACCCTTACTGTCTACCAGCGAGGTCCCGCGAGCCTCCCTCAGCCTCCGCTTCCTCGCAACCGGGCACTGATTCGCCCTATGGCAAAGAGGTAAGTAACTATAAATGTTATCACAACTACTTCATATGATAATGTTGGAAATCAAAAGAGGAACTGATAAATTTTCTTAATCACTTGTGCAGGGCCTGGTTGGTTTTGTCGGGTACTTCTACACGCTCCCCCGCGAGCATCCTTGGTGTTTTGTGCAGGAAATGGTACCCCGACCTTGTGAACGTGTCCGAGGACATGCGGGAGCCGGCCTACACGTGGGACAGGTACCAGTTGGCCCCTGACGATAGGTACCGAAACAAGCAGGAGCGGGTACTGGCGGAGTTTTGGGCAAGTCTCTCTCGCACAACATTTTCATTGGGTAAGTCTTTTATTGAAATAATGAATGGATACATCGGTTTTGTATGCAGAGGTATTTCAAGCCGGAAGAAGGACTTGAGGCCCGGGCGGATCAGGCGGCTGCCGCCGCCTATAGGAAGTACGTCACCGACATGCACCACGAGGCGCGCGTGCAGGCCCACAAAGACTACTACGCCGTGGTGTTGAAGCAGTCCATCAGCAAGCCTGATGCAAGACAGGTGGAGCTGTCCCAGGCCTAGTACCTTGAGGTAGACGAAAAACATTAATAATGATTCGTTTTGAGATTAAGTCGGTTTAATTTTATCTTTTTCTATGTCAAATAATCGATGACTTGTAGGTGATTCCCTGGTGGTGCCGATCCCACTCCGTGTGCTGGGAGATGATCGTGGACAGGTGGTTGTCCAACGACTTTGCTGAGAACCATGCGAGGTAGCGAGACCAGCGTCTGCTGAGGCGAGGTGCTACTCACCATCAAGGCAGCCGCAACCTCCCCGCCTACAAACAAGCATATGTAAGTGATTTCTTTTATCTTATTTGACGTTGAGTTCTGCCTTATTTCTCACCATCTTGCCGTCTTACTCGCAGGAGGCTACACACCCGGGCGTGGAGGTCTCGGAGTTCTCTGCGTGGGCTATGTCCCACATGGGCAGGGCATCTTCCTCTGTCTCCTTTGACCCGTCTGCCCCGCGTGAGGTGTACTCCGACCCGACCGTGCACACTAAGGTCCAAGAGTACACCTCAAAGGTGAGGGAGGTCCATGGGGAAGATTATGATGTGCGCACCGAGCCCATTGATGCAGAGACCATCATGAGGCTAGGAGGAGGCAAGAAGCATGGGCGGCTGTGGATTGCAGACGGCGCCATCGACTCCACCACTGTTCCCTCTCTCGATGTGCTCCAAGCACGGAGCACGAGCTCCTGCCAGCCCATACACCCACGGCCTACTCCGTCACTACAGCGGGTCAACGCTCTCGAGGTACGTCCTGTTTTACTCGTCGTACGTTCATCTTTGCACACCTAAGTTATATTTGCATTACTGAAACATTGAAGTTTGTATTGCAGGCCAAGTCAAGGGGCCCAAGCTCGTGGTCGAGGCTTAGAGCGCTTGCATGCTTGCAGCCCAGAGGGAAGCGTTCACGGCCCTGGAGAGGAGGATGCAAGAAATGGAGGCCTTCATGCGGTGTGTCCAAAGAAGGGGTGTACCTTTGCCGTTGGCTCCTCCACCCGCCTACTTCTACTGACCACACCACTGTAAGTATGAAAGTTCACTCTTACTAGATGCTTCCTTAACATACAACCATGCTTGACATAGAAACTTACTAGATGCTTGACATAGAAACTTACTACATGCTTGCACTAGCTATGACATACAACCATGCTTGACATTCTCAATTTACTAGATGCCTGACATAGAAACTTACTAGATGTTTGCACTAGCTATGACATACACCAATGCTTCACATAGAAAATTACTAGATGAATCTCACACATGCAACCTCTTATCCTTTTTGCAGCTTCCGTCGGCGGGTTCGAATAACCCCGCTCATGCTTCACCGAATGATGGAGCCTTTGCTTCACCATCGTATCATAGGCCGCTTTTTTGAGGAGTTGTGCTTCGTCATGTGCTTGGACTTGAGCTTCACTTGTGGTTGTGACTTGTGCTTGGACTTGATGGATTGTGGTTGTGAATTTGTGACTTGTGGTTGTGATATTTGACTTGTGGTTGCGATATGTTGTTATTTGAGCTGTGGTTGTGATATAATGTGTGAAAATGGTTTCATTGTGATATATATGTGATTATTGTGATGTTTGTGATATATATGTGATATGTGATATATATTTGAACTGTTTGTGTTAGTGGAATGCAAAAAACAAAAAAATTTGCAATTTCGGTTGATTTGTCGAGTGCAATGGCACTCGGCAAAGCTGGAAAACTTTGCCGAGTGCCAGGACATTGCACTCGACAAAGATTTTTTTTTAAAAAAAAGCAAAAAATCTCTGCCGAGTGCCAAGCTGGGGAGGCACTCGGCAAAGAGCTTTTTAAAAAAATTAAAAAATGGTTTTGCCGAGTGCTCGCCGGCGTGGCACTCGGCAAAGAGTTTTTGAAAAAAAAAAAAAAATGCCTTTGCCGAGTGCCCTAACTGTCGGCACTCGGCAAAGGCGCCGTCAACGGAGCAGCGCCGTTGACGGCTGCTTTTCTTTGCCGAGTGTTGCCGTTGGCACTCGGGAAAGGCTTTGATGAGTGCCCGACAAATGACCCTCGGCAAAGCGCCTCTTTGCCGTTAAATTTTTTTCCGAGGGCTCTTTGCCGAGGGCGGCGCTCGGCAAAGTCTTTGCCGAGGGCTTTTGGGTCTTTGCCGAGTGCCCTGGACCCTCGGCAAAGAGGGCGCCTCCAGTAGTGTACTGCATCTCCTATATACAGAGTGGACAAAGTGAACTGTGATTTCTGCCATAAGGGTCGAATGTAGAAAAAAAACTGGACATAAGCAGGTTAGTAAGATATCGATTAATACCATTCATATTTTATAAATGAAATAGGAAGCCTGGCCAAGTAGTGTGTATAAATAAAAACGTACACAACCTGTGAGCCCAATTCATTTAATTCAAACATCTTTGCCAATCTAAGGAGGATTCTAAGTTGACTCTGCCCTATCACAAAGGAAATGCACACAGATCCGGAAGTCTTACCGGCTGTGGCGGTGGAGATGACGACGACCTTGGCAGCCACGAACATGGCGGCGACCGGCAAACGGGGGGACCTGGTTGCAAGAGCACGACGTCAAGGACGGATTTGGAGACGGGCGGATCTGAAGGGTGAGCGCGGTTGGGGATACGACGGAGGCTAACTGACGGAGTTGGAGGCGGCGGATGTGGAAGGTGCAGTGGGCGAGGTCGAAGGTTGAGGATGCAGGAGCTTCGATGGGAGGGGCCGACCTAGGCTGCAGCAGATGCGAGAGGTCCGATGCGAGGTTCGGAGCTTGGCTGCAGTGGCTGCGGGAGGTCTGATAGGAGGAGCCGAGCGTGGCTGCGGCGGATGGGGGAGCTCCGATGGGATGGCGCGAGCTTGAGGGGGCCGTGCGCGAGATCGGAGGGGAGGGGGCGATGCCGGCGTTTGCGGGAGGCGGCTGGTAAGGGAGAACCCTAGGTGGCGCGAGCGAATGGGAGAGGGAGAGGGAGACCAGCGGCGGCCAGCCTGGTATATATACCAGCTGGTCTGGGCTGAAATGATCAGCCCACTCCAGCCACTTCCAGCCCATCCCCAACCAGCCGAACACGGTGATGGTTTACGCGCAAGCGTACGCGCAGTCTGGTGCTGAAACATCCGTCTAATATACCATATATATACATCCTCTGTAGTCTCGTACCCTGATCCTCACCACTTTGCGAATAAAAGATCGAGAACATAGGATTATGCAATTCGTACCCTATAATATGACCGACCCTTCAGTACATCATGCAGACATGGACCCATAGAACTAGGCTTGTTATATCGGGTTTATTTATGCCCAATTTACATGTACCAATTGAGATATATATAATCTTCTCATATTTCTACTGAATAAAGTAATCAGTAACAATCTCAGTTTAATCATGTGTATGTCATCCAGTCATGAAATGAGTTATCCATCAACTGTTGTGGGTAGCCTGAGGATGGCGGTGCAGATGGCTTCGGTCCCGGTTTAGGCACTCCTAGCTTTGGCTCCTCGGTGAAGGCTTCAGCGGCTTAGGAGTTGCTAGATTCGGCGTACTGGGCGGTGCCGGTGGCTTCGGTGTACTATGAGGTGGCTTTGGTGACTTCGGAGTATTGGACAATGCCAGTTCTGGTGGTGGATTTGTCTGCTTCAGTGGTGGTTTCGGGGGTGCTACTGACTCTAGTGGTGGTTTCCATGTACTAGACGTTGTCGGCTTCGGTGGTGGTTTTGTGGTACTCGACGGTGCCGGCTTCGGGATACTTGGCGCTACAGACTTTAGTGGTGGCTTCGGGGTACTAGGCGGTGTGGACGGCTTCGGTTGTGGCTTCGGTGTACTCGGTGATGCCGGCTTTGGTGGTGGCTTCGGTGTACTAGGCGGTGTCGGCTTTTGTGGTGGCTTCGGGGTACTTGGCTGTCTGGGCTTCTGCTGTATGGGCGGTGTCTCCGGCGTTGGACCAGGCCTCGGTGGCTTGGGCGTTGGCCCTGGCTTGGGTGGTTTCGGCTTGGGTCCAGGTTTAGGTGGGCTTGGTGTTGGGCCATCGTGGTGGTCATCGTCATCGTCATCGTCATCGTCATCATCGTGGTGGTGGTGGTGGTGATGGTGGTGGCCATGGTGGTAGCATCTGTGGCCGCATTGATGGAAGCAAGCCGTTCTCCGGTAGCTATCTGTAGTCAGATAGAAACACAACAAATGCATTAAAAGGGTCAAGGGTTTAATTAAAATTGATCAGGAGTAGGACTTCAGAAGTTTATATCCTAGCAATGAACGTACATGGTGGCAAGTAAAGACAGGAGCGGGAGACGCAGTGGTGGTAACAAATGCCGGGCACGTAGTCGATGCAGTCCTCGGTGCACTCCACCCGGCACTCGCCGTCGTCGTCGTCGTCGTCGTCATCATCATCATCGTCGTCATCGTCATGGTGTTCGCCATGGTCGTGGTGGTGGTCATCATGGTCGTGGTCATCATGGTCGTGGTCGTGATCATCGTGGTGGTCGTCATGGTCGTGATCATCATCGGACACGGAGACTGCAACGGGGCGGATGCCATTCTTGAAGGCATCATCGTCGTCATCGTCGTCGTCGTCGCACTTCCTCATGCAGGACCTGTAGCACTTGTGGTACATGTGGTGGTCGTAGTCCTCCCACGCCGCGGCGGAGGAGAGCGCTGCGACGGCAAGGAGGGCGGCGAGCAGCACCGCCTTGGAGCACGCCATTGTGCTGGCCGCGACCTCCAAGGGGAGGTGCAGCTAACGCGATGGATCGATGGCGATGGGTACCTGTGGCCTCGCGCCGAACTGCTCGCATATGTACTGCTGCCCCAGAGCTAGCTAGAGGTGGCCGCATCCTGCAGTGCCTGTGCTGTTCTATAGGCAGCGCCATTTTCGCGCGTGTGGAACGCGTGAGGCTGCAGTATTGTAGCATGCAGGAAGTGTGTGAACTGTCAAGCGGTTCCTAGACACAGACCGGGCCAACTGACATTCCTCACATTTGAAGTTCTCACCTTCCAGAAGGAAAAAACGATATATGCTACGTATTTGACAGGAACTGAAGAAGGGTGAGGCTAATGATAAGGACAGCTTCATTTGGCAAATAAAAAGGAATGGAGTTTTCTCCACACAGTCACTATATAGGGGATTAATGAAAAGAGAGAGGATTTCAGAGAATAATGTGTCCTGGAAAGCAAAATTACCTTTGAAAATTAAAGTTTTCCTTTGGTACTTCAAGAAAGGGGTGATTTTAACAAAGGATAACTTGATTAAGAGAAGATGGAAAGGAGATACTAAGTGTAGCTTCTGTGGGTTAGAAGAAAATATCCAACATCTTTTCTTTGATTGCCGAATAGCTAGATCGGTTTGGAATACCTTGTTCATCACCTTTAACTTTCAACCACCTAAGAGCATTACTCACATGTTCAGATCTTGGATAAGGAGATTTGCTCCTGGACTAAGAAATCAAATAATAGTGGGGATTGCAGCCATGTGTTGGGTATTATGGTTGAATAGAAATGAGGCAGTATTCCAAAATCGAGTTACTAATTCTTGCTTGCAGGTACTTTTTAGGGGGACTTTTTGAATCAAGCAATGGTCCATGTTGTCTAAAGAGGAAGAGGGAAGAAAGTTGAAGGAGGGCTGCAGGCGTCTAGAAGGCTTGTCACTGCAATTTTTTTTGGATCCAGTGGGTGGAGGAATCAAAAGAGAATAGAACAGTAATCCTCAGGGAGATGTACTGGAAGGTCGTAGCTATCAAAAAAAGGAAGAGAGGACGGCTATGAAGTTTGGATGCATGAAGTTGGAAATGATGGTTGGAAATCTTCAGAAGTGCCGTTTGGAAGCAACACAAGAGTTTAGAGAACTAGCTTCTTTTTGCTGTATCCTGAGTGCCAGTGTTTGGACACTACGAGTGTTGCCTGTTTAGCTATAGTTTGGAGTTGGGGTTTAGCTGTTTACTAATCTGTGGTTTGGTTGCATCCTTTGGGCTGTGTTTAGACACTGAAAGGGTTGTTTGGTTATCAGTAGTCTGGAGTTGGGACTAGTCTGCTTAGCGGTCTTTGGTCTTAGACCATGGTTTTGTATTGGTTCAGTTTGGTTGTACCCATTCGATTGTGAATGTGGGAGACCGGAATACATTTGTTCCTTAATTAAAAAAAATCTCAGACGCCTATTTGTTTCATTATCTCAGGAGACAAAAACCCAACGTTGGATCAAAATGCTTCTTGAGAAGAACTCAAGAAGTACTGCATTTCTTTTTCTTCTTTTCTTTCTTGAGAGGAGTACTGCATTTCTTGATTCCTATGCGATGTGTATGATTATCTAGTTCAGGTCATAATTAAAGAAAACTCTGCATGTGCATGCTATAAATTTTAATACTAGATGGTGGAGTATTGCTGTATGGATCGCAAGGTCTCTACTCATCTTTGAATTTATCAGCACATATCTATCTTTGTCGTTATTTGAATCAATTCTATCAAATCTGCAGCTCTAGTCTTCTCTTGGGCATGATAACACAGTCTTGCAAAACCATCTTCCACAGCTTATCAAAGTAAACTTACAGCTGTTGCAAGAGCAACTATCAAAACATTAGTTTTCTGGTCAAGTGCAGGAGCAAGAGAAAGAAAGAAAAAGGGACAAACTGAAACACATATGAGAGATATGACCAACAATAGAATTACGATTCCAAAAAAAAACAATAGAATTACGAGTAGTGAATTACCAGAAATTGGCCTGTCAAAAGTTCATTTGATACATGATCTCAAGAAACATGGCATGCACAAGCACAACTCACATTGTCAACACTAAATGTAAGACAAGCTGGCGGCGCTTCATGCTGAACCTGTCTGAGTAAACAGCCACATCACACAGGGAAAGACATACATCATGCTGCTGCAGAAACATGTAGCGCTGCACCCAGACAAAGACATGTAACAACCGTGACATGGATCTGGTTCCCATGGTGGCGCGGAAGATTGAGTGACCCCAGTTTGGATCGTTCCACGCCATGCCCAACGTTTAACTGGCCTAGGGAATTTAACGTAACGCCGAGCCTTGTAGCTTGTATAGTTTACGCTCTGTGTTGTTTTTTACTTCAAAATTTAACTGGAGGAAGCAACCTCCCAAGGTTGTCTACTTGTAGGCTTTTGCTAGATATACTGATCATATAACTGGCGCACATGCATTTTGAACCGGTTTTGATTTAAAAAAAAAAATAGGACCTCATAAACTGAAGGTACACAGCAGTCATCTCACCGATTAAAAAACAGTTTGGCAACATATGGTTTTCTAAATTAGGGCACGATTAGGTCGCAAAATTTTTGGGTTTGGCTACTGTAGCACTTTCGTTTGTATTTGGCAATTAGCGTCTAATTATGGACTAATTAGGTTTGAAAGTTTCGTCTCGCGATTTCTCACCCAACTGTGCAATTAGTTTTTTCGTCTATATTTAATGCTTCATACATGCGTCCAAAAATTCGATGTGATGAGCAAAAACCAAAAATTTTTGAACTAAACGCGCCCTTAATTCGAACACCTGAACTCATAACTGACTTGGGAACTCCTAGTGGCAAACTTTGCTACTATATAAAGACCAGAAATGAGAACATATTCGAACAATAATATTTTTTCAGGAAAAAATAAATCAACTGAATCGATTTGCGCCAGATTTAGCCTTATGGGAAGGCCCATCATGCTCGGTGGGGCCTACTAAAGCCGAAGCATGGTGCCTTGTTTTCAGCGCAAATAGGACACCTAGTCAGTTTCGTTCCAAAAAAGTGTTATTTTAACTATGGATTTAGACAACATTCATAGCTAAATAACATTATTTGGGGACAAAGGGTGTACAGTGTATCTTTTATAGTTACTTCCTTCGTTCATAAAAGAATGTAATTCTCATTTATCGAGGAATCAACCAATTTGAACTTTGACTGAAGTTATATCGAAAAGGACTAACATTTTTTTATACAAAATAAGTATCATTAGATTAATTATAGAATATATTTTCATCATAAATTTATTTGATGACATAAATACTAATAGTATTTACTATAAACTTGGTCAAAGTTGAGCAAAGTTGACCAGCACGGATCACATAATTACATTCTTTTGTGGACGGAGGGAGTACACCGATTTGTGTCCATCAAAGACCAAGAGGGCTTTTGCAAAAGAGAAGGAAAAAAAAGAACAAGAGGGTAAACTCTTATTTCGATCAATTCAGAGGAGAGTTCGCACCTACTTATATTAAATCGAGTGAGCTAAAAGTTCGGACAAGAGGGTAAACTTGAATACATGTGTGTGTTATTATACATATGCGCGTTGTGGCTCTGCGCACTATATAGAAGATAAATTTCAGTACATCACGTATGCGTTCATTTATAGAACTACTATCAGGCCATATGGTGTATGCCAGTATAGAGCAACGGAGATAGCATTGCTTCCTTGCTCGCATCAATTAACTACACTGGCACTCCCACAGTCCCACTGCGTACAATATATGCGTCGTATATAGTGGGTGGGACCCACTTGATGTGCCGACGTACGTACGTACACACGTACTTAAGTGAAGTAAGCATATGAATTATTCTGATGACCGGAGGATCCATCGTATCAGTTGTTGTTCACCTCGTCGCTGCCGGGGGGACAGGGACACGGCTTCTTGGGCGGTGGCGGCGTCTTGGGCGTCGGTGGCTTTGGCGCTGGCGGCCTCGGCGTTGGCGGCTTCGGAGGACCAGGCGATGGCGGCCTCGGCTTCGGGGCAGGCGGCTTCGGGCCAGGACCAGGCGCTGGCGGGCCGTGGTGGAAGCATTTCTCGCAGCAGCTCTTCAGGCACGCCGTTTTCTCTTTGCTAACTGCAAAATGGATTACATACAGAAATAAAGCAACATGGATAGATAGTATGTGATTAGGATTCCAGAAATAAATAATGTATATATGGATCTTGACGGCTGTGGTGTGCACATACAGGGTGGGAAGCAGAGGCAGTTGGTGACGACGCACTGGTGGTAGCATTGGGCCGGCAGGTCCTCGAAGCACTCGCTGAGGCACCTGTCCTTGCACTTGCCGCCGGAGTGGTGGCCGTCCTTGGCGGCGACGACGTCGTCAACGGCGGCGGCGTCCTCGTCGTGGCAGGTCCCCGTGCACGACTTGAAGCACTTCCAGTGGTACATGTGCTCGTCGTCCACCGCACTCGCCGCCGCGGCGAGGAGCGCCGCGACAGCCAGGACGACGCCGAGCGCCCTGCCCGGCGCTTTGTAGCTCGCCATCGCTCGATTGCTAGCTTAGCTGGTCCCTCTCGGTCGGTCGTCCAAGGGTGAGCTGATGAACTTTAACTGCCGCGCGCAGCTCTGTGCCTGGGATGCATGGTGTTCCCTTCGGGCCCTATATATACATGCTGCGGCGCTGCGTGCGCGACGCGCCATGCGTGCATACTGAAAGCGTGAGGCCGCGGCACCCGGCTCAGCTCGGAGCCTGACTGATGCTGCGTGCACGGAAAACAGCAACTGATGAATCGGTTGGACTGCGGAGTGCGCCGAGCTGAACGACGTGGGCCGATCCGCGCGGATTCATGCTTTTCTTGTTCGTGGCACTGGCAATGCTTAGCAGCTTTGCGGTTCGCACGCATGCCTTGCGCGTTCGTGTGCTTTCCTCGTCACTACTCCTCATGTAAGGTGCATGTGAACTTGTCTCAGTTCTGTCGGTGTCGGTTTCGTTTGCTAATTAATTTCAACTTTTGCTCACGATACAACTTCGAAATCCGCCAGACTCATAATTTAACGGTGGATGAGCATGATCCAGTTGGCTTTCGAATGAATTAGAAGTCTTTCAAACGTCGTGGGCCGGTTCCAAACTTCCAATGGAGGAAAGAAGTTAAGTTTTCTCGAATTTGTGGACTTCTTCCGGTGTTCAAAAAGAAGTCGTTGGAGGATGAGAGGCGCTGGTGATGAAGCGGAAGAGATTTCTCGACAGATAGACGAGATATTCCATGGCAACCAAGAACACATGCGACAGTATCTTCATTGACCAGCTCAACCCCTCGCATGTTGATGCAATGCGATAGCTTTTCCCGAACCCACAACGAGAGCGACCGAGGCGCCGCGCAAGCCAGCGCTTCTGATCGCCGATGATGGCTAGGTAGTACGATTAGCGAGTAATAACCCGTGATCTCCTTATACTATGGAAGACAAAGCCGATTGTATAACATTAACCTCCCTAGTGTGCCATATTCGTGACGCGTTGTTGTAACTTTTACTATTTCTCGACATTAATACAAATATGCGTAAACCTTTTGCTTATCGTGAAAAAAGAAGTTGTCGGAGAATTTCGATGACCTTCAAAAGGACGTTCGACCTCTCATGACAAGTTGACAACACACACACACGACAGAACAGAAATTATTAAACTTTGCGTCAATTTGGATAAGACTTTCAACCTGCTAAATGCACTCTCAATTCCACGAGTATTGTATTTACATGTAAGGCACTATTTGGAATGACTAAAATAAATTGTTAGCTCCAAAAAGAAAAGCTCTAGCTAATCTGAACAGTCCAGTTAAATAGTCCAACATATAACCTATTTTAAACAATTTAACTAGCTACTCAACTTTTTTTTAAAACTACTAGCTGGTTCCCTCCGGTTATTGCAGCTTATGAAAAAAAATAGTTGATCCAAACTGAGCCTATTTTGGTTAGTTTAGTCAGCGTAGCAAAAGAAACATGTGAAAATCATTGTCAAAAGCTTTTATATAACTAATTAGTTAATGCAATTTCTGCATGTCAGCACTCATCACCATAAGAAGCTAATAATATAAATATATAATATAATGCTAGAAAATCATCGGATTACTAATTCTCATGAAATCATAAATAATTTGACAAATATAGATAACAGCATCATCAATCATCAAAGATTTGCATTTAGGAGTGCAAATTGATGACCCTACCACCGTAAGGATATCCATTTCTCCTCCTTACTTTTACCAATAAATTTTTCTCAACTAAAGAAGCATGATTGACACTCAGTGTGATTAGGATCATTGGATTCTTCACTCTATTCTCTGTTTTCTTCACTCTATTCTCTGTTTTCTTGACGCGTCCTCTTCCGCCTCCTTTTATGTGCAAACCCTAATCCTAGTTGTCTGTCACATGGTCAGACATCCTCATAAGTGTAAATCGTAGCTCATCGCCACCGGGAGCCATTAGGGCTAAGCTTTATGGTTTAGGATTAATGGGATGCTCTTTTTCCCAATGGCTTTAAGGGGTTATGAGAGCGAAAGGCTGGTAGGCAAGATGACTGAGCAAGTGTAGCGATAGACCGACTGTGGATGACTTATTAACCGGCATAGGACGGTGTTGGCGAGTGTACGTGTGCACACATGTGGCTATGGTGTCAATGGGTGGGTTGGGGGAAAGGGTTGAGGTAGGCAGAGTGAGCAGAGGATATATAATCAGTATATGAGAGGATGAAAAACATGTTATGTTATCTGATCGCACAAGAAGAGGATGATGTTTGTGGTCGTTGAAAGTGGGCCTAGTTGAATGCACGGAACGAGTTCTTCTACAATATAGACGAGAGGCTCAACCTAAAATCCTAAATGCACGCTGGCTTATTAGGCTAGTAGGCTGATCGATAAGATAACCATAATTGGACGGAATGAAGCCGCTTTAAACAATGACCTTTGTTGATCAGATCTAACCATTTATAAAGCTCCATATTGGTGGTTAATCTAAAACAAATGAGTTCTCATGGTAGCGTGGAACAGGACCACTAGATCGCATCATCAAGGCTGAATTTCACTTGCTTTTCGCAGCTACTTCAAGTGATGGAAGCAACGCCAATGCGCGTGCATGTAGGTACCTCTAGGAGTTTTCAAGCAAGGATGTTACAACATGGAAAATTGGGACTCATTGATAGTGCAATTTGGCAAATGCCATAAAAAATCTTTTCTACATCTCTAGGGAGACGGTAGTTGCATAAATGTGAAGTCCAAAATAAGCGTGCCGTACGTTCTCTTAAGACCACGGCAATGCACTTTCTTTATTTGTCATAGATGGAAATTTATTTTTAGAATTGGTCAATAATGTTGAACTTTTTTTCTTGGTTATGCTTGAGCAGGGTTAGCTACTACTTTTCATTTTAGTAATGGTGGACTGACTTTTTAAAAAAAGAGAGAATGAAGCCGTTAGCTCTCTCATCCGTTATCTAAAAAAAGTATACCTGAATTTTTTTTCTTTGAAACAAATTGCGATCGGGTATGTTATGATACTCCATTAATTATGCCTCCTTTGGTCATGATTAAGAAGAATTGGCCATGCAACCAGACTTGCTCCCTCAGTCCCTCTGTACAAGTGGTCTACGCTTGATGATGCAGTGCTCTTTTAAAGCACCTCTTGTGTTTGGGGCTTACTCAACCAGGGGCGGAGACAGGGGGGGGGGGCAGGCCACCCCCAATGGCCCACAGTATTTAGTAGATATAGGTACTAATTAGGAGTAGAGATTAGTTTTAATTTAACAAAGTAGAGATTAGTTGTACGCATGCCACTCCACCTCAGAATTTAGTAGCATTGATGTTTGCTGAGAGGTCGCTGTTCGGGCCCGCCGGTCCGAAATGCAGTTGTCCCTATTCTCTCCTCTTGCTAGCCACGCCATGCTACATTGTTGTGCGGCCATTCCAGTTTCCAGAAGCAAGGTAGTTTGCTCTAACGCCCAATTTTCAATAATTTTTTTAGATAATGAATTTTCAATAAGTATAAATTAAAATAAATGCAATGTTATCAGTTGAGCATATGAATCTACCTTTTTATCTTCAATTTAGCCATTTATACGGGCTTGGGCGGAATTGCCGCTGAAATCTTCACCAGAAGCAGGAGCCGTTCACCTATTTGCTCTTGACCGTTGTCGAGAGCGGTTGGCGCTTGTGTGCCAGGACTAATAGCGTGTGGAGGACGCCATCCTGCTGGTGTGATACACCGCCGCGAAGGCCAAGTAGGCATGGCAACAACAACGAAGCCCCATGGATGCAGCAAGAAGATAGGAGCCACACAGACACGAACGGGTGGTGGTCCTGGCTTGGGACGCATGAGGCCAGGTAGGCACCTTGGCGGTATTGAGGATCCTCTCATCGACAAGTTGGATCCCCTGATGCTGTCATTGTCTACAACAGACAGCAGTGAGCTCGACCCCAATGATCACGTACGAGTACGCTTATCCTCATCCACGCATGATGAATCAGGGGTGCGGCCATTCTCGATGGCGGCTGGATCTGATCTGTGTTGTCTCTTGCTGGTGCCACTGCTCCACATGTTGTAGTCTCCATCTTATCGGCAGCGGCAGGGAGGTGCTCCACAGGAAGGGGCATCGGCGAGGGGTGCCATGCTCTTAAAGGTAACACCACATTGATTTAGTTTTGAAGGTTTACTTCCTAACTTCTACACCATTTTGTCTTGCATCCTAGATCCCTTTGTTTGGAACCCTAATCCCACATTTCAAAAAAGAGAAAGCCTAACCTTTGAGGGAGGATCCGGATCTAGATCGGCGTCATGGTTTTGTCGTTATTCGGGTTCCTTGCTCCGTTGACTTCTACGAGCTTAGGCTCGCGCTCTGCCCCCGTCGACCGACAACTTCTTGGTGGGGAGCAACATCCACCAGAGCGACTACATGTCCATTGCGGCTCTATGCTTCTCTTCCTCATTTACTTCTCTGCCTCATCCTCTTTTGGATCATGTGCCCTGTCATGCAGCCAAAAGGCAGCACAGAATGCCACGGGTATTGCTGGCTAAATCATTAATTCTGGCATAGCAGGTCAAGGTTACTATGGTGGAGTGATAGTCGCCATAGCTACACTCTCGACGCTGGTCGTGTGCATCCTGCATCCTGACCTTGCTAACTCCAAAGATGATGAAATGGCCGATGATGATGCCTGCCATGGTGGCACGAGTTATAGTGCATTGCAGTATGCAGTGTCAGTTGGACTGTCACTAAACAGCACATACCCATGACTGTTTGATCTATGGAATGACAAGCGTCACCATTATAGTATCGAGCCGTCTGTGAGAATCTAGGGTGCCGAAACTGAGCAGTATGAAGAGGATCTAAAGCATATAGTGGGTAAACAACCTATTGTTGTGGTTCTGAATCTCTTGGTACGACAACTTCTAACAAAGCAATTTGCAAAGAAAAAAGTATTTGGAACTGTAGCCTTATTGTTATCTCACCTATCCCAACGTCCTTCAAGAATCTATTGTTTTCTTGTTTGCAATATACTTTC